GAAATATTTAATTATTTAATAAATTATTTATTTCTGTATTTAAATAATTGAATTCTCGAAAAATTTTCTAATAAAAAGTGATTAAAAAATGAATTTCACTTAAAATTTTAAATTATAATTGAATATTAAAAGCATTATAGAGTGAATTTTTAGAAATAATTGAATTTTGAAATAAGGGTTCAAATTAAAATCTTTGAAAATTTGAATTTATAGTTACAATATTCTCTCTAAATCTGAATAAGTCAAAACTCTTCCACGTAAAAAAATAAGTGCATATACACTTAATATAAGTGAAATTCAACTTACTCATAAGTGAAATTTCACTTATTTTAAGTGTATATGCACTTATTTTTTACGTGGAAGAGTTTTGAAACATGAATAAGTGCATATGCACTTATTCAGATTTAGAGAGTTCTTATGATATAAAATAATGATTTTATTACTCTGTCATCTTAAATTTCTTCATGATTTATAATAAATTTAAGATGACAGAGTGATATTTAATTTAATTTTTCCCTGATTTCCACACTGTAAAAAATTTATGTAATTTTCCCTCAGGTTTCTTGTGGATTATTCCACAAATTTATGAGAAAAGTATTTTTACTACGATTTTGTGTAATTTTCCACAAATTAGTGAAGTGAAGTCTTTTTAATGGAAATTTCCCTTTTTTGGTTAAAATTGCGTCACCAAGATTTTAGGGAATTTTCCCCAAAAATTTTTTACAGTGCAGACAAAATTTTGACTTTTTCCGTGACCCTGAAGAATATTTATTTAAAATCAGAATATTCTTCAGGGTCAGGAAAAAAGTGAAAATGTTGTTTGGAAATCAGGCAAAAATAAAATTAAATGTTTGTGGCAACCCTGAGTATGCAAAGAGTTTATATAATTATGTACTATTTAAATAAAAAAAATCGCAATTAAAAAAATATTTTCGTATATGAAAAAAAATTGTCCAAATTCATGCATTTTTCACCGCTTTGAGAACGGTAACCTCCCCTTAAACGCGATTCTGTGATTGCATTCGCGTAAACTTGATTCTCTCGTTTTTCTCTCTTTATTATTATCAAAGAAGGTCAAAATGGCAGGCCACCCGTATCCGTGTAGATCGTGTTCGAGTATTTACGGGCGTGGTTGTACACAGGGGTCGATGAATGTTTAACGAGGCAAAGCGTTGGGGTCGGTTGGTAGGTAGATCGAAGCGATTCAAACGACGGATTCGAATGTTTGACAGTTTAAAAGCCAAGAAGCGGCATGGCAGCGAAAGAGCGAAAGGGATAGAAAAAAGAGAGAGAGAGAGAGAGAGAGAGAGTGAATGTATTGGGGGTGGGCGAAAGCGATAGGGTGGAAGAGGTGTCAGAAGGAGTGAAAGAGATTGTAGAGTGTAGGATGTATCAAGAGAGAAAGAGACAAAGCAAACCTGGCCGAGGGAACGCGACGTCAGGGTGGGTGTACATTATGTAGGGACAGGACTAAGCTGTTAGATGTCTGAATTATTAAGCCCGAGTTATCTCATCTGTACCTACAGTCGTCTCGTTACTTTAAACAGCGCGTTGCTGCAGCTGCTTCATGAAAAAACTTTGACTTTTCAATTTTATTTTCACTTTTACTTCGATTTCTAATTCGAGATATATATCTATTCATAGTTTTCTTTCTTGTTTTTCAAAATATTTTGATTCTTTTTGGATTTTTTGAATCCTTTTCAAAACACAGATAATTCTTTTCTGTGGATTCTTCATTTTTGGAAATTTGAATTTTTTAAGTCCTTTTTGGAACACAGAGACAAGATTAGTTATCACGGAGAAAAATTATTTTTAATGATTACAATAGTCTACATTACAGCGCGGATATGTGACCACTTTTTGGAATGATTACGAAGACTATGTAATGTGTTAAGAATTTAGTAGGAACGATTACTATAGCTGTTGTAAGGGATACCTTCATGTTTGTACTCCTTACAACAGCTATAGTAATCATAACAAAAAGTGGTCACATATCCGAGCAGTAATATAGACTATTGTAATCAGTAGGTACGAATAAATTTTTCTCCGTGTTACAAATATTTACAATTTTTCCAGTTACTCTAAAATATGCTGCTGCTAATTTATTAATTGGGGTTATAATTTTAATCAGTAAATTTAACTAATTTATTAGTTGATTTTACTATTTTGTTCAGTAAGCTCTGGGTTTAATAAAATATTTCTTTTTAATGTAAAGAGCGCGTATTTATTTATCAATAAAATAGCAGGGACTTTACTAACTTTCAGAAAAAAAATTACTAAGTAATAGTAAAAAACTATTAATCCAGACTTCGCACTTGATAATTAATTTTAAAAAAGTAACAAAAGGTAGCTTTCAAACTCAAAAATAAAAAAGTAGCTAGGTATCGAAAAATTAAACTTAACGACCAAAAAAACTAGTTTTTTTCAGTTCAAAAAACTTACAAAAATTCCATTCTATATTTTATTTTCCTGACTTTTTCCTACTTTTCATAAAAAATATTTACTTCTTCCATATCCTGCTAATAAATTAAATTCTTGCAACGAATTTTATTATTCATGAAAAAATTTAAATATTTATAAAAATAATTTAATTCCAGCGAAGAATTTTATAAAAATTTTTTAAATAATTTTATTTCGACTAATTTTATGCAAATTCTAATTTAAATAATTGAAGTCCTGATAAATTTTTATCATTCATGAAAGAATTGAATTCTTACAAAGATTTTTACAAAAAGTTTTTTAAATAAAAATTTTATTATTTATGAACCTATAATTGAATTGTTGCGAACGATTTATTAGAATTTTTTAAAATAATGGAATTTCCAAGAAGAAATTTATTACTTTTAAAAATAATTGAATTATTGTTATGAATATTGTTATTTATGAAAATAATTGAATTTTGAAAAGAATTTTCAAATTTAAGTTAAAAGTTAAAAGTTCAAATTTAAGTTTTTTATTAAAATACCTCAAAATAATTGAATTTTCGGGAGTAATTTTGTTATTTATCGACATAATTGAATTTTTCCGAAAAATTATTTGTGTAAATAATTGAATTCTTTAAAAAAAATTGATTAAAATTTTAAAAAATAATTGAATTATTTCAAAGAAATTATATTAAAATTGTATTTAAAACTATTGATTTCTTTCGAATAATTTTATGAATTTTATGAAAATAATTATTCAATCCTTCCAAAAGATATTAAAAAACATTTTTTTTAAATAATTGATTTTTTCGAGGAATTGAAATTAAGTTTTTAAGAATAAAATTACATTTTTTGAGCAATTCCTGTAAAATTGTATGAAAAATAATTGAAATCCTGCTATGAATTTTATTATTTATGAAAATAATTGAATAGTTGCTAGGAATTTTATTATAATTCTCAAAATTAATTGAATTACAGAGAAGAATTTTATTATTTTTAAAAATAATTGAATTATTGCGGAAAAGTTTATTAAAATTGTTTAAAAAGAATTGAATTTCTGTGAAAAAATTTATTATTTTTGAAAGTAATTGAATTCTTTATAAGAATTTGATGAACATTGTTTTAAATAATTAATTTTTTCTAAATATAATAAATACTATGAAAATTTTATTAGTTTAAATAATTGAATTCTTGTGGAAAACTTTATTTGTGAAAATAACTGAATTTTTCGATTATTAATTTAAAATAGTAATAAAAATAATTGAAATTCTTCGATAAGTTTTGTTATTTATGAAAATAATTAAATTCATGCTTAGAATTTAATCAAAAAATTTGTTTAAAACATTGAATTTTCATGAAAAATTTGATTATTAGTGGAATGCTATACTAAGAATTAGTAGAGATTTTTACTGATTGGAATTATCTGACAAATTTTTACTAATTGGTACTTAGAGAGATGTTAGTATATTGTTCTTTGCACGAATATTTGGTGACTAATATTTAATCTAAATTAAAATGCCATTTGGAAATTTATAGTATGTTGACAGTGTGTCGTGTTTGATTAGAGAATTTAGTATTGGGAGAATTAGAAGCCGAGATTAGGGGTAGGAATGAGAAAGTTTAGGTTGAACGTTAGGTACAAGCTCTTTCGGATATTTAAAACGTTTAACAGATATAAAAAAATGTATGTCGCCATGGGATGTCTCGCCCTATAGTCGCTTTGGCAATATTGAAAGTAAAGCCATATACGAACGAGCAGGGTCCTTTTTAATCTAAATGACGTGTTTTTCGTCCTCTTTTATCTTGAAGAGTCTCCGTACTCACGGCTCCCAATACGTCTGCTGATAGCAGTTTGTGCCACGGTCCATGACTCTGCTAAACCACTATTAACATTCCAAGCGCGGTTTCTATCTTCTTCCACTTTTTTTCCTTTACTTTTTCTTTCAAAATTATTCAATCACACTATCGTCAAATTTGCAAATAACTCTCAGAATTCATCCTCTATTTAACCGTCTGTCGCTGTATAATTTTTACATCTGTATACATATACTTTATGAGGAAAGTTTGCTTCTCGATAAAAAATTTGTTTTAAGGGTTCGAGCTGAGAGAAGTCTTTGGTTGGCAACATTTTTAAGATAGTTTCTTGTTCGCTTTTTTTTCAATAGGTTTCTCTTGGAATTTCGGTTACATTTTTAGAAAAGTTAAGAAAGTTTGAATTCCATAGAACATTGAAGGAAAGTTTCACTTCCTATTTCACTTCTTTTTCTATTAATTGAGACAATTAAAATTTTTCCTATTGTAGTGAAATTTGTATCCAAGTGAATGCTTCCCTTGAAGAATTGAAATTTAATACTTCAGTTGAAATTTAAAATTAAAAATACTCTATTAGATTAAAATTTAATACTTAAATTTAAGAACCTTTGGCCTTTGAAGAATTTCCTTTTTTAGTACATAGTTGGAAATTACTTAAGTTAAGAAATTCATAAGTTGAGAATTAAAATTCAATAATTAAATTTATAAAAATTAAAATTTAAAGATTAGCGTAAATAGTTCATCGCTGAGGTGGATATATCTTACCTCCATTTCGTCCGCCTGTTTTGAAACCATGTTTTCACTTGGGCATCCGTCATTTTTAAAGATTTTGCGAGTGCAGCTCTTTCGGCTGAGGCCAAATATTTTTGCTTGTGAAAGCGTTTCTCCAACTCGGCGATTTGTAACCTGGTGAAACTTGTTCTTGGCTTCTTCCGTTTGGGCGGCGTCCTGTTCTGATAAGGATGACCAATTCGCCTTGGAAACGCTCCAGCCACTGCAGAACAAGAAAAAATCATTTTAAATCAATGTTTTACATTTTTCGGGAAGAAAAAAATATAAGAGAAAGAGAGAAATAGAGAGAGTTTAAAAGAATGAAGTCTTTATCTATTTTAAGCTTTTAATTTAATCAAACAATTCAATTGTTTGTTTCTGATTTTTTAGTTGAAGTAAACATAATTAAAGGTATGTTTCAGGGTTGCTACGCAACCTGGAAACCTGGAAAACCTGGAAATGTCAGGGAATTTTGATCGAACTTCTGGAAAATTGTTGTTTTCTAAAGTTATTGTGTTTATTCTTGAAATTTAATTTCACTTAAATATTTCAAAATTAATTCAATTTTAAAAGAATTGCGTTTACAATTTTCAAAAGTAGTAAAATTCTTCTCAGAAATTCAATTATTTTCAAAAATTTTTTTAAATTATCTTTATAAACAATAAAATTCTCCTCTGAAATTCAATTATTTTTAGGAAATTCAATAAAAAATTTTTGCAAAATTAAATTATTTTCATAAATAACAATATTTATCACAAGAATTCAATTACTTTCAAGAATTACAACGAAAATTTTGTCAAGAATTCAATTATCTTTATAAATAATAAAATTCTTTCCAGAAATTTAATTATTTTTGAGAATTTTAATAACATTATTTACAAGTATTCAATTATTTTCACACATAATAAAATTCTTTGTAGGAAGTAAATTATTTTACAAAATTTGACTAAAATTCAATTATTTTTACAGATAATAAAATTCTTTACAAGGATTCAATTATTTTCATAATAAATAAAATTCTTATTTTCAAAAACTTTTCTCAGTTCAATGATTTTTAATATCTACTATAACTATAACTATCTTCAATTAGTTGAAAAAATTGTAATAAAATTCTACGCAAACATTTAATTATTTTCATAAATAATAAAAATTTCACAGGAATTCAATTATTTATAAATTATTTTCATATATTATCCAATTATTTTCATAAATAATAACATTTTTTACAGGGATTCAATTATATTTCCATAAATAAAAAAACTCAATGCTGAATTTCAATTATTTTTAATACAAATTTAATGGAATTCCTAGAAAAAAGTTATTATCATTAAAAATTTTATTAAAATTTATCAAAGAAATTTATTTATTTTAATAAGCTTTGCTACAATTTATTTATTAGAATTTAAGTATTATTTTCAATACGTTTTTTATTACATTTCTTTAAAGAATAAAATTATTTTCAGAAAATTTTCATGAAATTCTTTGCGTAACAATTCAATTTTTTTAAAAATAATTTTAATAAAATTCTTTGCAGAAATCCATAAATGTTTAATAATTTACAAAAATTCTCGTCAAAATTTCAATTATCTTTATAAATAATAAAATTTTTCTCCAAAATTCAATTATTTTCAAAACTTTTAATAAAATTTTTAACAGAATTTCAATTGTTTTTAATATAGTTTTTATCAAATTTGTCGAAAAATGCAATTATTCTTAAAAACTTTATTAAAATTTGTCAAGAGAATTCAATTATTTAAAAATTTGTTGATAAAATTCTTGATGAAAATTTAATTTTAAGAAACATTCAATTTTCTTAATAAAATTTTTATTTTTATATAGTTAAATAATTTAATTCTCGTAGAATTTTCTAATAAATATTTATTTAAAAATGAATTTCAAATTAAAATCTTTGAAAATTTGAACTTTTCATACTTTTAATTAAGAATTTTATAAAATTAATTGTTCTCAATAAGTTTAATGAAATTTTTTCAATTATTTGCAGTTTTTAATTTCCAATATATTTAATTGAAGAATGTCAGAATAATCGAAATTTCGTAAAATTAAATTGTAAACAAAAGAATTTGAAAATTCATAAAGAACTTTTTCAAGAATTATTAAAAAAAAAATTGACTAAAAGAAGAATTTTAGTTGAAAATTCTAAAAATGAATAATCGTAATGATAAAAATAATTTTTTGAAGAAGTTACAGTAACAATTAAAGTAGCAAGTTTGAATTATTATATATGTTATTGAATTTCAAATTTATTTAATTATTTAAAGTGCTTATTTAAAATAAATAAAAAAAAGTGTATATAGTAAATTTTACTATTCAAGCAGTAAAGCCTGCGAAGTATTTAAGAAAATTTAATTTAAAGAAAAGTAAAAATTACTTTAGGAATAGTTAAAATTGACAAACTTGTTAAAAAATTCCTAACAGTTTAGATTTTTCTAATAGTAAAAGTTACTTTATTTGTTTTTTCCATGTAAAATTGTATAATTGAATAAAGTTCACTATGAAGTTCTTCACTTCTGGAGTTATTAGGAGTAAAGTTTATTTGACATTAAATTTAGTCAAGGAGTAAATAGAAATTTATTTACTCTCGGGAGTAAACTTTTAACTCTCTTAATTTTACTTCCTACTCTTCAACTCCAAAATGGTGTGACTTTTATACAATCCTGCGAGAAATTAAAATTTAACTCCCTTTTTTACGTTGAAGAAAATTTTTTTCATTTATATATTTATTTAAAATTTAAAAAGCATTTTTTTATTTGCAATAAAAGTTGCAACTTTATCAAAAATGCAAAAAATAGTGGCTCTATATCATATATACTATTTTACTGCAATCGATAGTTGCAATGTATATAAAATTATACTTTAAAGAAATTTTGCAACTGTTTCCATTTTTTTCTAATTTTTGATTTTTATCTTAAAAGAAAAGACTTTGTTATTACTCCTATATATTTTTCTGAAAAAAAGTTTTTTCTAAATTGAAGTTTCGCACTTTAGTGTGGAAATTATGGTAAACAAATAAAATGGAGATAGGTACATATACACAAATTGCAAAGTAAGGTTAAACGAAATATTCCAATAGTGCTAAAAAGTAGTTATTAACCTGTTTTTTCTCATGATAAAAATCTGTAAACTTTTTTTTTATCTATTAGATTTATTCAAATGGAATGAAATAGTTATTTTGCAGTATGGATTTTTTTTCCTGTAATTTAAAATACTTTAAGGTTGCAATAATATTTTGAAAACAGGAATATTTCAGAAATATTGTTTTTAGGATTAGATTAAGAAAAGATTTTAAATTAGCACAAGCCAGATTCGCATTTATAGTAGTCAATTTGCTATTCAGTTCTGGATTGCGGTTGGAAATAGACAAAATGCAATTTAATGAACTTGGTGGGTTTTGATATAGTTGGTTTTGAATGAAAATGTCGGGGGAAGATTTCAGCGGAAGAAAATTTGACAGGTAACTGAACGAGTTTTGCATTCAAACTCGAGTAAAATGTTTAAGTATTAAGGCTCACCGAGCGAATATTGTTCATTACATTCGTCTCTCTTGGCCATAATCCATGTTTTACCTCATCCCTTTGCTCATTTAACCCCTTTACCCTTTCCTCTTTTACCCCCTTTTTCTAAAAGAGCTTCACTTTAACTATACGTGAGTCTGCTCTCTCTCTTTTTGTCTTATCTTCATTGCCTCTATCTCTTTCTCTCTCTCTCTTCATTCAACCCTTTTAGACAACGAAGCTTTTGCATCACTCTCTCTTATTAGGACGATAATCGTGTACCAGCTATTACATCCGTTAAATTATCATGCTCATGATGCCATTTTGTCGGGCCCTCTCTCTTCCTCTTGTAATTCACTCGTAATGACTTTTGTATATAGAATCTGCAGTATATTATACGTGTACATAAACACTCGATGGAATAAAAGTATGGGTTTAAACGAAAGGTTTAACGAAAGTTAGATTAAAAATTTTTTTTATTTATTTTTTTTTGCTCTTTTATTTTTATTTACTTTTTTTGTGTTATTTATTATTTGTATAGCATTTGCTTATATTTTCATTGCAATTAGGTATTCTTTGTTGTTTTTTAGTACATTCTCTGGGAATATTTTTAAACGGAAAGGACGAAGATAGTAACTTTTACTATACTAGTAATAAAATCTAAAATTTTTGGAACTTCTGCGCATTTCTGCTTTGCAACTTTTACTATTTTTCGAGATTTTCATGTAATAATAGTTTACATTTAAAAAATAAGGTTTTAATAAAAAAATGTTCATGTACATTTTTGTAAAAATGATAGTAAAATTTTCGAAGAGAATAAAATATTCGATCGTATAGAAAAATTTTCTTCAAAAATAGTAAAAACTAATAGAAATGCGCAGAAGTTTTAGACAATTTAGATTTTTTTTTGCTAAATAGTAAAAGTTACTCAATATTATTTTCCGTGTAAAATTATTTTTTATTTACACTCAAACCTGGATAAGAGGGGGAAAAATGTACCCTTAGCTTCTTTCCTTGACAGTCCCGATAATATTAACATTTTTTTCTAAACTTTTTTTATGATTTAATAAAGAATACACTATAGGAAATTTTTTTTTAAGCAGAGTGCTTGAGATAACAAGTTGACTAAGAATCCAATTTTGATCAAGGGGAGGGAATTCAAGATCAGTTGTCAGAGCAAGTAAATGTCATTCAAATTGTACAAAGTGGTTTTGGGTTTTGTATTAGGATCGTTATCTCATTGCGTCGGTAAAACGTCACTGCAAAGTGGCAGATTCACCGTATTTGCGGTTTAACATTTACCTTGACACAACCTCAAAACCTAAACACTAGGTGTTTCACTATCAGGAATCATCATAGGTACCTAGTGATTTATTCTAATGAATAATACATTTTCACAATAATCTGTTTACGTAAGTTTTTGCCATTTCTTCGCGATGAGTCTCGTTATACCACTAAATTTTATATACAAATTGTATATTCATTGTAAATTAAATAAATTTTTAATAATAAGAAAGAAACGAATTTTTTTTATAAAAAAGAAATATTTATTAAATAATTAAATTAACTATATAAATCTCCGTTAGTTTCTGTTTTTCTTCTTTAAAAAATGTTTGACAAATCGAAAATATGCAGGTATTTTTTCAAGATTTATAATAAAATAATATTACAAATTAGAAAATTTAAAAAAATTCTGAAACAAATAAAAAAT